CATTACGGCCACTCAACTGATTCAGGACAAGATCTGTCTCCAAAAGTATAACATGAGCTCCGATTACTGTATTAGCATTAGTTCAATGAAAACAGTGAGCGGTGGCGGTCAGCACAGGGATACGGGTGCCACCAGTAATCTGACATCCGATTTTACCACCAAGGACAAAATACTCGCTGACGTAGCTCACTTTGATATATATCGCCAGGCTATATCAACACTGCCCGGCTTTGTCTTGGTGCTTTTTATCGGCTCGTGGACTGATAGTTATGTTCATGGCCGCAAAATGATCCTGCTCATGGGCGCAGTAGGCTATGCTGGACAGTATGCGGGCCTGTTGACCAATGCCCTCATATTTAATCTGGGTATTTATAAATGTCTTCACTCAATTTGTTCAATTAATGAAAGCTTTCAATTTAACGCATTTATTTATTAACTAGTAATTTATTAAACTTTGAATTATTATTTATTTATTTAAACATTATTTATAAAAATATGTGCTTGATCATTTAATATAAAGTAAACAGGAGATTTGTCACAATATTGTTTATACTGGAAATTATAATTTTTATTATTAATTAAAGTAGAATTATTTTAATTTTTAAAAATTGATGATAATAGGATTGTTATACTGTAATGGTAAAACAACTAAAACATTGTAAATATATTCTATAGTCAAATTATTAATTTTACACATTTGCATCACTAAAATATGACCATGATTTATTTGTATTTGCTATAGATGTGCATTACATACTACTTTCTTATGTGTCGAGTGCATTGATGGGCGGGTGGGCGGCCATATGGCTGACCAGCTATAGTTATATGACACACAATTCCCCACAAGAGTATCGGTTCATCAAATTTATGGCATTTGAAGTGTCGGCCACAACAGGTATGTGTCCGCACAACTCTCTATACATGTGCTCATACACTCACAGTCTCATAAATTATGTGTATTGCTTAACATATAAAAGTTTGTATCAAGAATATTCTTGATATTCATTTACATATCAAATGTATAAAATGCACTAGCTCAAAATGATTAATGCTATTTAGTGTTCATAGTCTATTACTTAATAATCTAATATTTAATTTAATACTCATTTTACTTAAATTATCATGTAAGTTTTTACACTTGACATAGTTTTGTCACATTTAGCTCCTAATTACTATCCAGTATAAATCTTTATCTAATAAAATCTTATTATAGACAGTTATATTATTGAAAATGATGAACTTTATACTACGTATTGTGAGGCACTATATTGTGATATTACATTGTACTGGATAATATACACACTATGTTTTTATAAATGTATCAAACTGGATATTATAATATAACAAGTTTTATCTATTTGAAATCTACATTCAAGATCAATCTGTCCATAATAATAAATTATATTATTAATTAATTAGTACAAGGATTTTGATTAACCTAAACAGCGGGTCCATTGGGTACATACCTGGGAGGCGTACTAATAGGTTCGGGTAATCCACACCCGACTAACCGCCAGATCCACAACTATAGCCGAGTGTTTGGCATATCATTGGCCGCAACTATCATCTCATTCTTATGGGTACTGTTCGTAATCAATGAGAACCGGAAGAGGACGTCACCAGAAGCGGATCCAACACTCGGAGTCGGAGACCACAACAGGAATGTTGTAATCAATAGCAGTCCTCTCGACGACGAGTCGCTAGCATTGATTGGCTGCCAAACCGAGCACACAATGGACACAAAGTTCCGGTGGCGACGGCTGGTCGACATCGGGAACGTGCGGGACGTGTGGCGAACAGCGTTGAAACCACGGCCAGGGGGTCAGAGGGCGCGACTATGGTTACTATACCTATGCATGTCAATGGTGTTGATAACTTTGGTCAAAGAGTTTC